TGACTGCATGAAGGTATTCCTTTTTCTGGACCAACCTAACGTGTCTCCACAACTGCAATTTCAGAYAGAAGAAATTTCTGAGAAGAGGTTTCTGCTTTCTCACTCCAACAAAAAAAAAAAATACCCTAGCTAAAACCACTGTGATAATAGTCAAGTGCAGCAGTCATTAATCTGGATAAAGTGATTTTTCATGTAAATTGCCTCCTCTCTCCTTAAAGCTTCAGGGCCAAAAAGAAAATATATCACTGAAACAAATGGCTGCTAGGACAAATGAGCAGGTTGAAATACAGAACAGAGCAAGCAGGGCTAAGGCAAGAGCATTCAAAAAGGAACTGAGTGCAGAGCTGCTTACAAAAAAGATATCCTGAAGATATTACCCTGCCAGTTTGCAYATCCCTTTCATAGTTCCAAAACAAGGCAGCCTACTTCTCTGCTTTCCTTATATATCCTGGAAGGAATTTTGCCTCTGAGCTCACACACAAACTACCTCCACTTCATGAAAACATGCTTAAATTATGCAGGTTATTTTTAAGTCACTCACTTACTAGAGTTTGGGCATAAAATACCTGTCTGTTCAGGAGTCCCAAAGCCCCTGCATTCATCTACGACTGTTAGTGTCAAATTTTTCTCTTAGGGAAATAAAAATGTTTATTTGCAATCAAGAACRATAATTCAAGTTGAACTGGAAGTTAGAAAATTGATCCAGAACTGCATCTCTTGATTTTCTTTATCTGACAAAGCAAATGCTGTGAAAAGATATCTTCCCTGTCTCAGCCTGGCAAAGTCAGGTTTTTAACTCTCAGCATCCATTTGAACATTTAAAAAACTTCATGCAAGTACATAGGTCCAAACATCTCCAGATACTAAGAGCGTGTGCTCCAAGACTTCCATTGCTTTTTCCACTGCCCACGTTAGAGATTCCTTAGGCAGCAAAAGGCAAAATGTTGCAGTTGTGTTAGCTCTGCTGTCACTCTGAGGTACCTGCACTGCCTCTGGACCCAAAGGGCTTAGCAGGGATGACACAGCCTGTGCAGAGGCTGCTGACTGTGAGTCACAGCAGCACAACAGCAGACAAGGCTGGAGCCCGGGGAAAGCAGCCCAGCAGGAGCCACGCTTTGCTGGGGTGGTGTCAGTGTGAGTGGGTGACTGGAGAAGAGGTGGCAGTAGGTCAAGGGGTGGGAAATGAGGAGAACACAGGAGGAGTTTGGAAAACRGGTTATGCAAGTAGGAGCAATGGAAACAGCAATCAGCAGTGAGTGGGAAAGAAGGGCAAGGAGAGAGGGAAAGAGTGCGGTGACACTTAGCCAAAATAATCAAGAACCACTAGCCTAGAAGACAGAGCCTTGGCCTGGGACTCAGGAAATGGGCATTTCATTTGACTCCCCTGTGGACATGCTGGGTTACCTTGGCTGGGGCAATTCAATTTTTTGTGCCTCGATTTCTGTTCCTCTGACATTATCCTATTTTAAAATGTTCTGACATCAAAAAAGCCATATTTAGGATGGACCAGTTATTGTAATCTAGCTACTCAGAATTAAAGCACTAGAGGAGAGAAGCCTCTCTTCATTATTTAAAAGATGCCACATTTCCTTGTCTGCAGAAGAACACAATGCCCCTGCAGGAATCCCTTGTCYTTTGTACTTTAAAGCAGAGGATTATCATGGAAAATTATTAAGCACCCAATCAGTTTCATTACTGATTGGCAACTCCTCTGCTGCCCTCATTTAGGTACCACRTCTTCATGCATTCAAATCAGTAAAAACAAAACAAAAGCTAAACTTGCTTGACATTTGTAGCCAAAAACTGAAGTCATGTCAGAACATTAAAAATCTCCCAATTCTTGGCCTCCCTTCTAAATAAAAAAAAATAAAAAANAAAAAAAAAAAAAAAAAAAAAAAAAGTTAAAACCCAGTCTGATAGCAAAGTATTCACATAAGTTTAAAAGAACTATGATGACCAGGGACTACTGGAACAATATTGAATTGAAATTCTGCAATCTCCACTTACAAAGTCTGGATCCCAAGACCTGAAGACAGAACTCCCCACCAAGGCAACATAGTATCTGGATAATCAGGTGGTCTACAGGCAAAGCACCCTGGAAACAGATGAGAAAGTTGGAAATGAACTGAAGGAGAAGCTAGCCAACACAGGACCTGGACTTACACCTGACCCCCCACCAACCTACAAAGGCTCATCTGGAAATGAAATTAAATCTGATGTGTCACAAAATAGAAATGACAGAGAAAATTCTGCAAAATAAATTTCAGCCCTGAAGCCTCAGCCAGCTTTTATTCAGGAATAACTACTTTGTTGCTTTTGTTTCCAATCAAGCTGAAAAATGTGTTCTCCCAATGCTCTAAATTTATGCTTCCTCACTCTCCCACAAAGAAACACGTGGTTCATCCAGACCATGATTCAAATACAGAGACTATTTTCACTGCTGAATATTTTCAGTCACATACTCTATTTCRATGTTTTACAGAGGCACTGATGAGTAGACTGCTGCTGCATTAAAAACAGGTGAATGCTGAGACAACTTGATGAACCTGAATGAAATGCACAAATAGCTCAAGAATGTGCCTGACTTCAGTCCTTTAACATTTAAATTGGTTTTACACATGGCTTTACACATGCAGTTCTTCCAAATTAACTTCAAAGGCACATRTGACACAGACCTACATCTTCAGTTATACTCACCCAGAAGAAAGCCGCTCCCATAAAACCAAAGAATTTAAATTCAAGGCTATTATTCTTTCTAACATGGAGCAAAACACACAAGATCAGCATTTACTGGGAAGTAAGAACAGCACAAAAGCTAAAGGAAAAGAACAAAGAATGTACTACCTCTTTTTTACACATGTATCAAGATATTGATATGCAAAAAGTGAAAGCAGGTGATTATTTTTGTGTCAGCTGGAGTTGTCAGTCAATTTTGTGTAAGCACCATTTTTCTACTATGCACATTCTGAACCACAATCAAAACCATGCAAGGTGATTCTCTATCCCAGGCTGTATCCATCCCAAGCCTTTCAAATTTTTAGCCAGTAATAAATGGCATAAGCAGGACCAATACTGATAAAAAATTCTGGAGTTCTTTTCMGGAAAATATCTAGCTGTAAGGAAAAGCACAAGACTTACCATGCACCAGAAAAATATCTGAATTTCTCAGAGTGACCAGGATCTGTCATTGTCTTGATTTCTAATACAGTGAAAAGGAACTTTTGGAAGTCCCAAAATTACATAAATATTGTTTAAATCAGATGCAGAGTTCATGGACTCAAACAAAAAAAAATAGTAAGTATTTGGTTAASTGCTGGACTAGATAACAGGCTTGATCAAAATATTTCTGAGTCTGCAAGGTGAGGACAGATGTTGCTGTTTCAGCTGAGGAGAACTGCAAGATGAGTCATGAATGAGAAAAAACCCAAACACTGCAGGTCAACAATTCACATTATTATAAATAAACAGTGGAAGAGGAGGAACAATAACATCCATGAAATAGAATGTTTGTCTCTCATCTCACTCCCACCACACCAGCAGGATGGAATGCTGTTAGGCTGTGAGATYATTCAGTCTTCAGGAGATGTATCTTGGCTCTGTCTTCCCCCTCCTTTTCCCTATGTTTTATGTCATTATATCAGGTTCCATTGCCATTCCYTGAAATATTTTTCCATGGTTGCCTTTCTCTTGTACACTCAAATTGATCTCCTTYGTCAGTTGTCCATCCTCATCTCTAAGTCTTACAACTCAAAATGTGCCATGAAAAGCATAATAAAATTATCTTCTCCTTCCCCCCCATCCAATTTCTCTGTGCTCAAAACATGTGGCTGAGCAAAATCTCCTGCCACTCACTTAGAAGTGACCTTTACAGTGGTTGTTGATGGCCAAATCAGTCAGACACGAAAAGGACTAACCACAAGCAGATAGAGAAGTCAGTGTCATATAAGAAGTAGTGACTGGGCAAACCATCTTTCATCTTTCAAATGAACACACTTCAAATACAGGGCCTGGCATGCAAAGCACAAAGGCATCAAGTCACTCAGAATGCCACACTGAGTCAAATAACATCAGTGACCACCAAGAAGCCCACACAAATCCCCCAAGAGGCAGAAACTTCTGACACAACACACACCTTGTCCCACCAATGTTCTTTAAAATGGAACAGGAGTGTCTTGTGCAGGTGMACATGGAGGTTGCATGAATAATAACTGCAGATCTCCTAGGACTTCAGACTATTGAAAGGCACAAAACAGCTCCCTTCTCCCCCTCCACCCAAGGGCCTGAAAGTTCTCTGGACTGAAGGTCAACAGTTCACAACTTGTTCTCCCTCATGACTGTCAGCTCACTGGAAGGTTTGCTTATCTTCAGAAAATGGGAGGGAAGAGCAGYTGCACACTTGCTTAACTTGTTCCAGTGTCTTTCTGTAAACATGATATACACACACATATATGTATTACAAACTTTGTCAGTTCCTTTCCATTTGAACCTGAACGCAGAATGCTTATGTAACAGGCTTCTTGATTTATCACAGAACACCTGTTAGAGAACTCTATGAACTGCAGCACCCTGGGTCTGCCTTTTGCCTTGCAGAGACTCAACAACTTCTCCATCAGGGGATTGACAGGCAACAGTCATAACCTGAACACCAGCAAGGAAAGGTGTTCACTTTCACTGGATTAGGAACTTTTCACCATGTGCTCCCTTCCTCCCAGAGAAAGCCACAGCTGATTTTGTGTAGTGCTTTATTCTGCAAACAAAGCCACTGACATACAAAACAGGGCATTCATTTCTGAAAGAATGAGCAGTAACTTGGTTTTGACACTCAGCTATGTACCTTCTACAATGAATTCTATTCACTCTCTGTACTACAGCAGCATCTAGAAGTCTTGACTGATGACAAACACTCACTATGTCAAGACAAGTCATTACTTCTCAAAGTTTTCAAGCTATATAGGCACAACTAAGGAGAAAAATGCAGTTCTTGCCTTTCAAAGATGAAGATCAGATGCAGATATGAAACTCCAGATCAGGACCAGGAACAARCTGATGCTCTCCTTTCTTTCCTCACCTTATCACCCCAAATCATTCTTTGTGTTGCAAAAGTGTGTTCATGTTACATGAGAAAAACATTTCAAATATCCAATTCACATTTATTTGTTACATAACTTGCTGGACTCCTCTGAAATGAACTGTAGCAACAGCACACACAGTCAAAACATGTCCAGTCCAGTAACCCCCCCATAAGGCACATATTGGCTCTGAATAATCAAGGAACAGACTATTTAGAGGACATGATTACTGAAACAAGAGAACATGTTTATTTGGTACACAGATTCTGGAGGAAAACAAAAGTAGAAACCTCAGACAGGACTGTCAAAGAAAGTATGAGAAACTGTTCAGTGCATATAATAGAGAAGCTTTGGTATCCAGGAAATGGCATTGAGGACAGACAATAAATAGCAACTTAGATAATTAAAAGTGCAAGAGGTTACAGCCTGGAACAGTGTGTTGCCATGAAGAACCAAAACTAACACATGGATTTAAAAAAACCACTTTACAACAGAAATCTCAATTCTACACTTTTTGCAGGGGTCCCATTTAATTATTCTTCTGGTACCTGTTATAGTTTAAAATCAGCTATATARCCTGTACAAGTTTCTCATCTGTTGAATAGAAAAATAAAACCCTTCTGAAAATGAAGCCAAGAAGTATAACTGCTGTAAAACCAAGGGTGAAAAAAACCCACAGCCCATATTATCACCTTAATTCCTTCCTCTTCATGCGTAAGCTGATATATCATTAGAAAGTCTTCCTGTCCCATTTCCTAAGAGCCTTTCTCTGAGCATTTTGTAATTCTGTAAGGTTTCTTCCCTGGCAAGCCTGCTTTAAAAATTAAGCCACTATTTAGCAACAGTAGGTCTCATTAAAAGGTGCATTTACCACACCGTAGAATTCTCTATATTTAGAACTTGAAATACGTTGAACACCACAGCAAATATAAGTATTGTGGSAGTGCCAGTTTAATGGCATCCACTGTATTTGTGTGGAAAAAATGGTTTTATAAATAGCTTCCAAAATTTTGCTCAACATAGGCAGCTAATAATATCCAAAGACATCTCATTTTACACTTTCTCCTTTTTCTACCAAAACAAGTAACAGGCCTATGTTCTCTGTCAAGCACCCACCTGGAACGAGTACTGTGGGCATGCTGTGAACAGTAACTCYGTTGGGCTGCAAAAGCGAGAGCTAACCTGAAATTATCAGGAACATTCTGGTCTGCCTTTTAGGCTGGAGAACTTGTAAAATCTTTCTGGTTAGATTTCAATGTCTTCCTATTCCAAAGGCAGATGGAAACACAGGASTTACACGAGATCAAGCGGTCCTCAACACCTACAACTGACTTATGCCCTTTGGTAAGAACTTTTTGATTGCTTCCAAGAGCTCTTAGAAGCTTTCCTTCCCTAAGCAGTAGCTACAGAAACTTCAGCTTTGGTTTGCAAGTTAACCATAATTCATGCAGATCTGCATCCCAGTAAATCTATAATGAACTGATGCCTGGCACAGAACATAATCCATGRGAAATAATGCTCCTTTCACAGTTTAATCAAGATAAAACTAGTTCAAAAGGGCCTAATTTTCGTCTTTTGCCAGCCTTCTAAATTATATTGATTGCTTTTTTTTTTTAATCCTATTCTTCTGCTTAAAATGTGTGTATGCATCGAGTCATATTCACTGGCATTTCTTTGTGACACAATTTTCTGAGCTGCTGCGAGCCCACAACTCCAGTAGGAGTTGGCAGGTGCAACATATCATGATATAAAGATACAATAACAAAAGACCACCTTCTCAGACCTCTTCTCCAGACTGAATTTATACACCAAAAAGCCATCAAGCAGTCGATTTCTTCCTCAAAGACTTCTCACAAGAACAAGAAAATGCACATCTGTCTTCAGCTGCATTGCATCAAAGCAGAATGCTTGCAATTCTATTTGTGGGTAAGAAAGTCAATTCCTGTAGCCAGAACCTAGGAAACAATTTGTAAAATGTTGCAGCTTTTTATGCATAGTCGTTCCTTTAAGACTTAGGAAAAGCATCTGCACTTTCCAACTATTGTGTTAACCACGGGCAATTCTTTTGTAGCGATTCTGAGCTACACAATTCAAAGATGTCCACCCACATCCACGCTGTTATGATTCCAGGTGGGCTGGGTCTAGCGTGGGGTTTGGCAGAGAGCCATGGCATGTCCTGCCCCGCATCCAATTAARATCTGTTTTGCACAGCCAAGAGCTTTGACCGGTTCTGGGACATGAACGTTTGCTTCTGTGCCATCACCACACATCCCATGTTCGTTCCATCCCCAAGAGAAGCACTGACCACCTGAAAGAGAGGGCAGAAAATACAAAATAAGGATCATAAAACCAMATCAGCTTTGGATAGTTTTGAGCAGCAGATTTGTCATCTCCTATTTAGGGTCTAAGAAATTCTAAGGTGGGAAAAATGTTCTGGTTCTCTTGAAAATGTAAATAAACCCAAATAAATTATTCTCCATCCTGTTCCATGTTGTCAGCAACGTAAGAGAGATGAAAATAACAAAGACATTTGAAAATCACTTAGTAAATACATAGTTCAGTATTTATGCAGAGCCCACAGAAATCTCTCCTCCTTTTAAGAGCCCTCCCTGAAATGATGTGGAATCCCTKCCTTTCAAGCTTCCCCTGGTAAGCAGAAGTATGATAGATCAAGAGCAGTGACTTCAATCATTCACAGCATGATCGCAGGACTGGGGAGCACAGAGTCACAGTTCAGCCAAACTGCATTTCATTCCTAGCTTCAAGCTCACATRTCACCTTTTTCCTTTAAATACAAGTCTTCAACAGCTTGCCTTATTCTTAATCATCCTACCTCTTCTGCTTGCTTCGACATCTTTTCACTGCTTTTATTATTCTTATTTTCCCTCATTATTTATTTTTGTAAGWTCTACTCTGTTGTATCCCAAATAACAATTTGTGTATTATTACCCCACAGTACTCTTCTTTGAAGCACAATATGCAAATTTTGTTCTGTAAATGGCTGGTATAAGAAAAAAAATCCATCAAAGCCTCCTTATTCTGAACTACAAGTGCTATTTCTTCCCTAGTTTCTATTCTTTATTTGGTTGCCACAGACTGCATGATTTTCTGTAATAAGAAAGAAAGCCATCCTGCCACACAATCATGTTTGGGATGCCATTGTTATTTTTGAAAAGCAGCAGGTATTAACAGCATGAAGCAGCATTCTGGATTCCAAAAAAATGAGAAGTTCCACAATTCAGCAAATCTAATCCCAGTCACGGTTTCACTTTCCAAAATTCAGAAACAAATTATTGTAAAGCTTGCAGGACCATCTTTCCTGCAAATCCTGTTCTCTTTACATTACGAGTATATTGAAGTTCCCCTCTTCTGCAATGAAGTGAAAACATTACTGAGGTCAAATGTAATTAAAGGATGACTTTTAATTTTCCTGACAGTCTTTAAGGCAATGGAACACAAGAAAACACCACCAGAAYATCACAGCAGCCAAGACACATCTCACCTGATACAGCACTTCTGTTACTCTTATCTCAGAAGGCACCAGATGTTCCCATGACTGTGCATGTGCAATATTGCCAGCCCAGCCTACATCCCAAATGCACACATGTGTGCTGCCAAAAAGTGCCAAAAACTGAATGTGCAACATATCCCATTTAAATATCAACACAGCATCCTACAGGTTAATCGGGTTTTTCTTTTTGGTAAGATTCCAGGTAAAAGTGCYTATGTAAATATTGAAAAGCAGAAAAAAGACACCCCAAGCCCACACTAGAGACACATCACCGACTAATTATTCAAGGAAGCTGCACCTAAGAAATTACTTTTTATTCACAATTAATATGTGAACCCTGCAAAATGAGCCAAGCTTACAAGTTTAATRAAAAAAGAATATAACATGCCCTAACATTAATGAGATGACTGTGGTAAACTTTTTGTAACTAGACACCAGCAATTACTACTACAACTTACATGCTTCTATGAAGACTCATCGCATTTGTTTAATGGGCTTTCTATTTCTTTTTTTCTCCTATCCCATCAGGATAAGAGAGAGGAAACCAGAAATTTTCTGATCATTTGTRTTACAAACTGCTCAGAGGAATATTAATGGTATGATAAATATTCAAAGAAACAGTGCATTATGATATTACCCTCTCAAACTGATACGCATATCTAGTGAAACATCTTTTGAAAAAACATCATAGAAAAATTTATAAGCTAGGAATCCCCCAGACAAGAACATCTTCCCTAAAATAAGGATTGTGAAGTCCTTTCCAGCCTTTACTTCTCCAAGTATGTAGAAAGGCCACRAAACAGATTTTTCTATATGATTCCAGTGAGGTCTAAGGTCACTGAAATGGGACAAGAGTGAAAATTGGCAAAAGAAAAATAGAAAGTAAGTAGGATTTATGAATGGTCTAGTAGAAAAATGCCTTGTACATCCATGGAGAGCTGGCAAAAATCTGAAGAGATGAAAGGGCAGCTGACAGATACAGAGTGACAGGCCACAAAAATGTTTCTCAGCACCATCAGGTCAGAAACAGGAAAGTTAAAAGGCAGAGAATTTTTGCTGTGAAAATGAAAGGTATACTTGGCATCTGCCCACAGAAGATTCAGTGAAAGGTTTGTACTAGAAATAGCCAAATGCCTGACTTGTGCCAGAGAAAACAGAACTTGCAGAAAACACACCAAGTCCATTTTTTGGTAGTAACATAACAGAATTTGGAGGAGGGCTGGGCAAAAGGAGTGTGGTGAAAGTGGTCAGGAGGGAACAAGCAGCAATGAGAATCACTGGCACAGAAGTCGAAATCAGTGCATATCGAAGGTAATGAAGCATCTATTAAAAAATTACATAACAGGAATATCTGCAGAGTTAAAGACAGACCCTAAGAAGAACTAATGGCTAGCCTCTGGACAAAGGGCACCATTTAATGTTTTTTTTTTCTTCTTCCATATTCCCCTCCTTTTTTTTTTTTTTTTTTTTTTTTTTTTTTTTTTTTTTTTTTTTTTTTTTTTTTTTTTTTTTTTTTTTTTTTTTTTTTTTTTTGCTTGTTTTCTTTTTGATTACTTCTATTCACAGTTTATTGCTGATAAAAACACAGAACCAGCAGCCCTACATTCCTTCACAAGAAAATTCAATTTCTATGTCTGTGCCACACCTTCTCAAGGATGAAAGAGCATTAGAATGATATGTATTGACACAACTACAAATTGCTTCCAACAAAATTTAGAACAAGCACTATAGCATGATCTCAAACCAAATGGTTTGTGTTTGGTGAGGTGAAGGAAGTTTACTCCATCCTACTGGTTAAGTGAAATCACATAAGATGTTGCATTTACCTTTTCCCTTTTAAAATGTAAAAGACATAAGATGTTTTAGAACATAAAATCGAAAAGAAAACAAGGCAAAAAAAACATGAAGGGGAATGTGGAAGAAGAAAAAAACCCATTAAATGGTGCCCTTTATCCAGAGCCTAAGTACTCAAAGTATAAATCAAACCCACAGGACTCACATGGCAACGCAGCATGATCCCAAAGGAATTTCAGTTGCATTCACCATCACACTAATCAAAGTTTAAAGTAATGCTATGCAGGATATTTTCCCAAACATTAAATGGARAAGACACAGGAAGAACAAAATCCTTAACAAATCTGTTCGGTCAAACAACACAAGAAGGGGCTACTGCCCTCCTGCCTGCCTAATTATCCAAGATTTTTTCGAAATAACTGAAGTGACAACAGCAATCTACAATTTCATTAAACTGGAGGAAAGTATTTCTAGGTAAAATAAAGCCGTGACATAGAGGAGAGGATTCTGGAGGAAGAAGAGAATTAAGAGTCACTCTTCATTGCTGCTTGGCATCTTCAGATGGAAGAATCAATGTTAGCAAATAAGATGCTCTGGGGGAGATACACTGCATTTAACTTCAGCAACCTAAAAATCAAGCAACTTGATTTTTGTAGCCATAGATCATTATCCTCTGTTTTCCTTGAAAGCCAATGGAGATATTTGCATCTCTCCAGCAGATCCAGAGATTCATCTTATTCATCTTATGGTGTGAAAATCAAGCCCTTCTTACTTTGGTGACRATAAAGGGAGACCAAGTGATTGTCCTAGCCTTGACATACCAGTTTTAAGCAGCCAAAAACAGGTTATGTTAAATCACATCTTCACAATTGGTCTGAAGGCAAAGCAAGAAAGCTGGAAATGAGGAAGCTGCAAATATCACTGCAGCCCAGCTTCAGGCTACMAACAGTCTGCTTCAGAACCAGCCTGCGCCCTGGATGCTTATCACTGAAATCTTTAAAACCTTTTCTTTACTGTTTCTCCTCTCCCACTCTTTCAACCAGCAAACAAACACAAGTTGGCCTTAAAGACAAGCCAAGTATCTTGAAGCCAAGCTATTCCTATTTTAGGGAAATGTTAAAATGTTTTAATACAGTTCTGCGATATTGGCTTTGTGCTCTTAGCAATACTCCACAATATTTCACATTATTATTTCTTTTTGACCTTAAATTAGTACTACTCTACTCTTTGTTTTCTATAGACAAAGTTACAGAAGACAGGAGGTCAGTTCAGAACAATTTATAAGACTTGAAACAGCATCAGGGCTGGACCACAAACAATATTCAGGTGTCTTGGCCACCTTCCCTTGATTATCTGAAAGCCTTCAAAACTTCACAAGGAGCAATGTAACACTACATAGAAGTAGATTTAGAYGATATTTCTCCCAGTGAGTTGCAAAACACAAATGAATAATTTCTCCTGTTTTTTCAGGCCATCTGGTGGTTCAGGGTGTCACATAAAATAAAAGGCAATAAGCATCCCTCTAAACTTTTGTATTTTAAACRGCAACAATTCTGCCATTAGTTCAAAAGATGTGCAATTTTAGATTGTAAGAAACAGGATTGATATAAATTGTTTCCTGCAGAAAAACATGGAAATGTATTAGCAATTAAAAAGGAAGTCTAGGAATCGTGCAAAATCTCATTAAAGGCAAAGCTAGGTAAGTGGAATGTAGGATGATATCATCAAAACACTGCCGTACCTCCAAAACTAGGAAAGAACTATGAGATCTGCATTCAGTTTTTATTACGGAGCCACATTTTCAGGGAGCAAGCTGTCGTGTGCTCCAGTCAGCCCCTCCAAATGCTGTTCAACCCTCAGAAATGTGTGTCTGGCTTTCAAGTGAGAGAGCTGGATAAAAATCACACACATTGCAGGGCTAACACAACACACAGATAAGAAACACCATACATTTTTTATATGAAGTACAAAGCCATGGTGCTAAAGGCATGCTGATTTCAAAG